GAGAAATGCCAAAACTGCAGCACCCCAACTATATCTTCCAGCTTCATCAAAATCGATCAGATGCCGCAACCACATACAATGCACCTGGTTGCGAGATTTGTCGGGCATCAATATTCCTCCAATTATTCGTAGAATATATGCCCGAGCACATGCCTTTGCTTGATCCTCTGAAGCATTTTCATTTAAAACCTCAAAATTAGCTTTCAACCAAGATAAAACTATTCTACCTCCATTAAACTCTGGCGGAGCAGCTCCAAGATAATCAATGCACATTGATTGCCAATCACCATCCGCCATACCACACATCATATTTCCGTCGACGGGAAGCCCCAGATGCATATAGACATCCTCCAATGTAATTGTCGCCTCTCCACATGGAAGGTGAAAAGTGTGTGTCTCGGGCCTTCACCTCTCAATCAGTGCAGAAATTAGGACAGGTTCGAGTTTGCAACCGCCTATAATTGTTGCAATATACCCGAACCCGGCAGAAGCCAAATATGGCAAAATACGTTCCGGTGTCGGTATACGTGGATTTTTAATAAAAGTCTCTAAAATACGATCAACATCCTAAATAATATACATTATAAAAAATAAAAATTAATATAAATTCATAATAACTTTAAAATAAAAATAAATTTAAATATTAACATTAATTATAAAAAATATTACCATATCGTTAAAATGTCTGGAGATATGATCAATATCCAATCGCAACAGCATTTCGTTTTCCATTATAACTGTAGACAAAACAATATAATTAGCAAAAAAAATTAATAATTCTAAATAAATAATAATTATATAAATATTATTTTAATAAAAAAATAATATTTACATAAATATATTAATATAAAAATAATAACTATTTAAAAAAATACTAACATAAAAATAAATTTCTTACCACTAATAACAAATTTAAAACTCAAATAGTTGGAGAATTTGAGTTATATAAGAGAAGAGAATATGATTTTGGTGTGAAGAATAAGGGAGGGTTGAGGGGGTTTATATAGGGGAGGAGGAGGGGTAGTTAGGAAAAACAGATAGGGGCATTTATGACATTTAATGGAAGGCGCGTCCCCGGGGATGCGCTTTCCACACGTGTCTGATGAGTTGGCAAAGGCGGGTCCCCGGGGATGCGTCTTCCACACGTGGCATCCAACTCAACGAAAACACGGGTAAAGCGCGTCCCCGGAAACGCGCCTTTGCCAACTCAACAAAAAGAGTGCTACTTTTAAAAATATTGGTCAAACAGTGTCAGAAAGAGAAAATAAAAAAAAAACGGTGTTTCAAATAGCCTAAGTTTGAAGGACGTTGGGACCCACATTCCTGGCAACGGTCACCCTACTCAATTGTCAAGGTGGGTAAAGATGTGAGATATCATGTTGACGTGGCAATACGTTATTGGTTGTTGTTTGATTATCCATCTAGGCTCTAGCCAGTCATTTGTTCTTAATATAATTATGTTTGTTTTTCCTTAGTTTGACGTGGCCATTGTTTTGTCTTTTCATATATGTAACTGTAGCATGTATTTGGCTATTTTTATTTGAATGGACTTTTGATATTAGGACTAATTAAATGGTAAGATACCTTTATAGGATAAATATTCGAGAATGATTTGATGCATGTGGATCTTGCGACTATCAAGATAGTGTTGGAATACAAATAGGATAAATTATACTAATAGTCATTAATGTTTAACTTTTTGTTTGTTCACTTAAATTTCAAAAGTAATAAATCAGCCACAAATGTTATCGAATTGTAATAAAATAGTTATTAACGTTATCGATTTCTAATAAAATGATTACTCAACCGATATTCCCCTTAAACTGATGATGTGACAACGTTAACAAAAAAGTTTATATTTCATTTTACCCTTAAACTACTACTAAAAACCAAATAGGTCATTGAACAATGAATTTATATATAATTTACCTCAAAATTTTTCTAATTTTCATTTTTTCCAAACACCACACCACCTCCATTATATTCAAACCACATTCCTTATAAAAAGAAAAACACACTTAAACAATTAGGAGCATTTTGTTTGGTATTTTTTCAACCAAACTTAAATAAAACATCTATAGTTAGAAAACAAATTGTCTTCTCTTTTGTTTCCAAAAAAAAAAGAGTGAACAATTCTATTATTTTTTTCATGTTTCATTATATATTTTAGACAACTACTAACTCACAAACCAAAAGTCAAATGCTAAAAAGAGATAATAGAGTAGGCCAGTAAGTACTTTACTCCAAAACAACACTGCAATATAGGAACAAAAGCATTGTGTTTCGAAGATTGATATTGCAACTGAAGATTGTTAGACTATTAAGTTTTGTTTAAGTGTGGTTAAAACAAATACTAAGGAAAGTGCTCCTAATTGTTTAAGTGTGATTTTCGTTTTATAAGGAACATAGTTAAAATATGGCGAAGGTAATGGGTGTTTGGAAAAAAATTGGGAATTAGGAAACTTTTTGGGGTATATTAGATACAAAATCATTGTTTAAGGACATATTTGATATTTTAGCAATAGTTTAGGGGTCAATTTTTTTTAATGTTACTAAGTCATCAATTTAACAGAGATGTTGGTCGAGTGACCATTTTGTTACAGATTGATAACATTAGTGATCATTTTATTACAAATCGATATCATTAGTGACCGATTTATTACTTTTGAAACTTTTGTGGAAAAACTGAAACTTAGTGGCCATTAATGTAGTTTACCCATAAAAATATTAGGAAGACTGATTTGCTCGACAAATGTCCTTTTCAAGTGTTGTACGATTTAACGACCGAATGATTAAATGAAGATTAATAGAGTTGATCATTCTACCAGAAGTTACGGTTTTCCTTGTCGAGATATTAAAATCCGAAATCATCCGTCTAATCAAATAGACTAAAACAACCAACACATCAAACCTAGTTTAGAATCCAATAGTGTCGAAAACCTTGACAGAAAAGTGTCGCAAGCCAACTCGTTAACAATGGGAGAATTTTCCCCCCAAACAAACAAGAAAGTTCTTGAGATGGATAAGAGAGATTTGCAAAAGCAGAAAGCCTTTCGGCCATCCCGTTACGCCGCCTTAATTGCGCTGGATCTTGCTTTCAGGTTGAGGAAGATGGCCCTGAAAGTTAGCATACAACAAAAGCATTAGCAACATGTCTACGTATGCTAGTCGAACACCGAAACGAAGATGAATCCTTTAATCATATAGAAATATACATATGTTGAACACAAATCTGTCTCCGACGTTCACTTCAAATGCAACAAACGAAAGGCATAGAATACGACGGAACAACGAATGAAGGGCTCACTAGCAGGAGGCAACAAAACGTTGGAACAGAACTCGGAACTGCAGAGGCATGTACTGGTAGTTTATCCAGCCAACTATAGGCCAAAACTGCAAGTTGTAGATATATAGCTATGTTACCGGACTCTATTTAAACATGGGGTACGACAGTACGATCTTTCAAACCTATGGAAAACTTCAAAAAAATCGAACATACTCGTCCCGAGTTCGAGTAAAATAGCTACATAACCGTACATCATGCATCATTTCTGTTCACATACCTTCCATGCAGTCAATTGAATATTCGGGTAATCCTTTCTAACTTTACTTCTGACTAAACCCAATGGCCTTCCTGAAAAACAACAGCACAATGTTCATTGCAAAAACAGAATTGCATTCATTCAGCATTCCACTTATGTTATTCGGATTTGAAATGAGTATCGAGTATGTTTATGTCTATGAATGTTACTCTGATTCGGATTACTACAATTCAATATTAAACTTGGATCAAAGGCCAAACCCGAAGCATTTAGACATTGCTGATACACCAAGAACAACAATGGCAATCATAATACCAATAATACATAGCCCTATGTTACTTGGAGATCAGTTATAGACGTAACGTATGCGTCAAACATTAGTACTTCAAGAAGACGAACATACGTACCTTCAATCACCAATCCATAATACATCATGAAGAAAAAGTTGTTCCAAGGAGAAGAAGTCAATTGTTCCAGCAACACCTTCAAAAAGCCAGAAACAAAATTCAAAATTTCCAAGAATTAAGCAGTAAATGAAAACCTGGGAATTGGAAGTGAAAGCCAATATGAAAATCATGTGTTTTCTTACCTTCTTTGCAAAAGTTTTACTGCCTTTCTTTCCCCTGAAGATGCTATCCATCACTTTATGAAGGAGGTGCCCAAATGGTCCTGAATATGCAAAACCATAAAGCTGCAAAGGGCATCCAAACAGGAAACTTGAGAGTATGATCCAAAGTTTAAACACATAGAGAGCAATAAATGAAAAAAAGAAGGCAACCCATACCCTGATGAGAAGCAATCTTCTCAACTGAAGCCTGTTGACCTCAGAAATCTTGAACTATCAAATCACTGCAACCAGCTAAACACCCGGCTGTGATTGCCTGCAAAATCAATGAACAAATCAAACTAGACCCCATTGATGGGAAGCACAAATCGAAGCGATAATTCAATAAAGTAATCATTTTGAAAACTTGAGTATTGATCAAAATGAGAAAATATCAAAAACATGTTGATTTTATTACCTTGGTTCTGAGAGGGTGAGTTTGAAGTTGAATAAGATATTTTCTCCATGCTTCTTGGACAATATCAGACATGGTTAATTCCAGAGGGTGACAAGAAAGTTGATGAGTGATTGTTTGATCTTTTAATGTTAATGGAGTTTCTGGGATTATAGGACAGGACAGACGATGTTCGAGGATGGAAGGGGATCTGTTCTAAAAACGACAGCTTGGGTGTTTTTAGTTGTTAAGTATGAGTCTGGTTTTCACATGGCGATGCCTACCAATTCTCTTTGGGCAAAGTCCCTAAAGTACACGTTCCTTCCTCATTATTTTCTTAGGGTAAAATAAGCCGAATGCAACTCATCTATTCATAAGATTATAAATGGCCCACTGAATTTTAAAAAGTTACAAATAGATCATTGAATTAATTGATTGTAACAAGCAAGTCACCATGATGTTAAAAATGAAACGGATTACTACTGAGTGATATGATTATACTTGTCCTGTTCTGTTCCAACACTAACCTCTCTGCTTTGCAGGCTGTTAAAATGACTGAGCCATTTTTAATATCATCGACCAGACATGTTCTCTCACTCCCTTTCTTATCCCCTCTTCTACAACCGTACCGAAAAGATCCACAATAATGACCATCGAAAGAGTTTCGAGGCACGTTTTCGACATCGAGCCCGAGATTTCGACACCCTTTACGGAGAACTTGATTCCGCAAGCTTTCCATTTTACAACCTTCCATGACACCGAGCCTCTTCCAAACAATATCCATGGTCGAAACATACTCCTTGCTGGCAAAAATCTGGAGTTTACACTCCTCGGCCCAGTCCCGACGCAACGTTGCCGGTGTTCTTATACAAGCTGACCAAATAACGGCGCAGCCACCACCTACTTTGGAGCCTGCAAATAGAAACGGAAGTAAAATTTATATTAAGGGGGCGACATATAAAATTTTAGAAAAGACCAAGCCTATTGTTGATAAAAATATAAAAAAAATCTAAATTATATGAGAATTTGAATCCCAACCTGCAAGAATTAGTATCTTCCCATCGACACTCGGATGGCTTCCGCCTGATTCATATAGATTCTCCAATGAAGGGCCTTCCAAGGGGGAATAATCCGTCAGACTGTAATACTCTCCTTTCTCTATTACGACCACCTTCCCGAACTGGCAAGCATCGCAGCCGCGACACTACCTCCGCATCCAGAGTCGACTTCCACAGCGTCGCATTTGATCTTGAGGACATTTTACCGGGGATCTTCTGATACATGAAGGCCTTTATTTGTTGGTGAAGCGCGAGTTGAGTGGAGTCTTTTACATAGAATGTCTCGATTATTCCGTTTTGAAAAGGTTTTGGAACATTCTCAACTTTGTCTATAGTATAACCAATTGCTTCCCATAAAGGATATTCACGATGTTTATCCACCTGAAAGATCATGTGAACAAGAAGTAGGTTTTAGAATCTCGAAATGAACGTTGGATATAAATATGTTAATTTTACTTATTAAAAATCTGTCGAATTTTACTTGAAATAACTAATAAATGGAGTAGTAAATATTTTACCTGCGTGAAGATATTGTAAAGGATGACCATTTTGAAGTAGAGCAAAGTACTTCTAATAGGAGTAAAGATCCGACGCTTAAACCAGGCTTGCAGAACTTGCTCTCTTGGGCAATGGCATGGTGGAGAAGCCATTTCCCAGTCAAACTCATGCTCCACAACAACAACAACACCATCCTCACCGGCATCAACAATGCCATGAATGCTCTTTTCCACATAATCTCCGCTACCTTACAAACTACAAATTCATTTATGCATCTAACCCATCAAACGACCTCAATGATAGAATAGAATCAAATGTTTTTCTTAAAGATCTCTAGGTCTAGCAATTAAACGTTATTAATAATTAAAAAGATTTTAAAATATATATCATCTTATGATCACTCCAAACCATTATGATACCGTAACAAATGCAAAATTTCGATAAATTCAATGATGATTTTATAACATTTTAATAAAATTTAACATTCATTTTATCAATTTTTTATATTTACCGTAACGTCCAAATAATTAGTAATTTTTTTTTTATTTTATTAAATTATCTATAATAATTTCATAAATTTAATAATTAATTTTATAAGTTTTATAAATTTAATGATTGAAACAATTGTTTGAGTATAATTCATTAACTTTCAATATATTTTACCTACTTGAAAATTTTTAATTTATAGTTCAACAATTAAAACTTTATCTCTTACAACTCATAGAGATTTGACACCTAAACATCAATTTATTGATATATTTTACAGTTATTCGATAAGTTTAATAATTCTTTATATTTTTAAAATTTTAATAATTAAAACGATCGTCCAAATACAATTTATTGATTTTTAATATATTTTATATATTTTAAAATGATATTATAACAATTAAAATCTGTCTCTTATTATTTAGGATAAATTACGCGTTTAGTATTTAAATTATTAGTTTTTGTCTATTTTAATACATAAACTTCATTTTTTTCAAAATTATACCTAAAATTTAATTTTTGTTTGATTTTAGTACATGCCGTTAAAAATTTTAGTTTTGTTTCATTTTAGTATGTCGTTCAAAATTTAACGTTAAGTTTTGGGGGGAAAATGAAAGTTTAGATACTAAAACAGGTCAAAACTGATAGTTTAGATGCTAAACTTGTTAAGTTTTTACAGCGGGTACTAAAATGAAATGAAAACTAAACGTTAGGTACGATTTTGAAAATAAAAATAAAAATTTAGGTACTAAAACTGACAAAAAAATGATAGTTTAAATACTAAATGCACAATTTACTCGTTTGACTTTCAACCACGTCAGTAATAAAAAAGAGTTTTAAAAAAAAATTAATTTTAAGTAGTTACGATTGTGTGATATATACACTAGGATGCACATAGCCTCTAGCCCACCCTTGAATTTTCTAAAATATATGAATTTCGATTTTTTTTGTTTAATTATTCATTTTATTGATAGTGCCTATCTGAAATTTTATCATGCCCACCTAAAAATTGTATTGTATTCAATCGTATACAAAAAATTTATATTATAAATATATGTGTTCACCCCAAAACAAATTCAAAATCCGCCACTGAGGATATATGTACAATATCAATAATTAAAAAGAATTTCAAACAAATACATAATTATAATACTATTAGAAGGGGAAAAAAACATTTGACCTAGGATATTTCATCCTGATTGTGTTCATACGAATAATAGTGGTAATTAAGATTTATTACCTTGTCCGGAATCTGTGATTGGGAGCCTGAAGCTTCCATGAAAAAGTGAACAGCATTACTTACTGGTCTGGCTTTTATCTTGTGTTTGAAAACAAGTTGGTGACAACGGAGGGAAGAGAGTTTCACCTATGGCCGCCAGTGTTTACCTCCGACGGAAAGAACCCATACTTGTATTCCCTTTCCTCTCCCATTTTCTCCTCTTTGTCTTCCCAAAACACTGGCTTTGATTTTATCCCCTTCTGCTCTGCTTCCACCCTTTTATACACTGCAAAATGGAAACCTTATTACCAGTGGATGAGGAACGTGGAGGTTGACGCAATTTTTTTTGGAAAAACTCAATTATTAAGCCCTTAAAATTTTTAAATTTTTAAAAAATTTAATTTCATCCCTTAAATATTTTTCAAAATTTTCGTTAATATATATTTTTATATGAGTTGAGATTCACTTAAACATAACAATTTTTTAGATCGCTAGCAGTGGCGGATGTATATATTATTCTCACGCTGAAATCAAATTTTTATTTGTTAACGGTTATTTTATTAATGATTTTCATCTTAATATATTATTTGTATTCTCTCCTTATAAAATTTTATATTATTTAATAAAATATATATTATTAATATATATATGTATATGTATTAATAAAAAATTATATAAAAATTTGAAAAACAAATTATATTATATCAATGAATTTATCTCTTTTCATATTCTCCGAAATAAAATATATGGTGTTGGTCTATAATTTCGACAACTAGACACTCATTTATTGATCATCTCATATACTATTAAAATAATATGAAAAATTATTATATTAATAATATCAGTTATTAGTTTTAGGATAATAACTTTTTATTCGTGACGATATAAATTATTAATAACGGAATTTTACATAATTTAGTGACATAATTAGTTGTTATTGAATATTAATTATATAGTGATGATATATATAAATGTCATCCATGCACCTATTAGGTGGCGATATATTACGTTTCTAACAATGTGACAATTTTCTTTTCGTCACATATACAATGAAATTATTGTGTTATTGGTGACGATACGATTTATTAATGACGAAAATGTATATCATTTTGTGACAAAAATAATTGTCACTGAATGTAAATTAAACTGTAACGTTATCCATTAGCGTCACTATATATTTAACAATATATGACGATAACATATACATCGTCAATTTTGACATTTAGTGACATATCAAAGGTGACGATCGTCGTGACATTAACTTTTACGTCACAAAATACATCTAGTAACAATAACCTAGATGTTACTAATAAGAAAATTTGTTGTAGTGGATAATTCTCAGACTAAGTATAATTTTCCATTTCAACTTGTATTCTCAGATTTGTGGGAACCCTCACCTGCTCCCTCGAATGGCTTTCAATACCATATTTCCTTTGTTGATATATACACACGATTTACATTGCTGTATCTACTTCGAGATAAGTCACAAACTGTAACTGTTTTTTTTGCATGTTTAAGAACGTGGTTAGTACACAGTTCGATCTGCCCATCAAAGCCATCCAAAGTGACTGGGGTGGCAAATTTAGACAATTATCTACTATGTTAGCTAAAGCAGGGATCACTCATCGTATCACCTGTCCTCATACATCAGAACAGAACATCGTCGTTGAGTGTAAGCATCATCACTTGATCGAGTTAGCATTGGTTTTACTTGCCCAAGCTTCTCTTCCTTTAAAGTTATGGTTTTACACAATAACTACTGCAGTTCATTTGAGAAGCTCTTTGCTAAGAAACCAAATTATACTTCAATGAGGGTTTTTGGTTGTCGTTATTTTCTGCATCTCAGGTTGTTTCAAAAGCACAAGTTGATGTTTCGTTCCCAAGCTTACACGTTCTTGGGTTATAGCCCTTAACATAAGGGCTCCAATGCTTGGCACCGGATGGACGTATATACATTTCGAGACACGTAATATTTGATAAGCTCGTGTTTCCTTTTGCAAACGTGAAGGAGGACCAAGGTTCAAAGTCTGTGCATAATCAACAGTGTGTTAGTGGAAAAAGGTCATCTTCCCTTGAGATAGTCAATAATGCTAGCCGTTCACGTGTGCATGGGAGTTCCTCTTTGCCAGACGTGCAACAGTCGAATGCTCATGTGCCAGCTGTAGAGTGCTTACCTACTCCTTCGCAAGAAATAAATATAGATGTGCTTGCTCAGACTACACCGACAGTGTCGTATTCTTCTTACTCGAACCGTGAGCCTGCATTGGCTGCTGGTGATGCTATTGAAGAACCATCAAGCTCTTTGCTTCCTCATTCTGATGATGGTGCTAATTTACAGGATAATGAGAATGAACCATAGGCTCCATTGCTTCCTCGAAGTGATGATATTGAGGTTTGCAATATAGTACGCAAGTCTCGAGTTCTGTGCCAACTATTGTCAATCATCACCCGATGCTTACTCCAAGCAAAAATAGTGTGTATAAACCAAAAAATTTTCTCGGTAGTTTTGATGACTCAACTTCTGGCGACTGTTCGTGATGCTTTGCATTCAGAAAATTGGAATAAAGCTGTGCATGAAGAACTGGGTGCCTTGAAGAAAAATGGGACTTGGACTTTATTGCCGTTGCCAGAAGGAAGAACTGCAGTGGGATGCAAGTGGTTGTTCAAGCTTAAACGAAACGCCGATGGTACAGTGTAGCGCTACAAGGCACGATTAGTGGCGAAGGGCTATTCTCAGATTTCTGGTCAAGACTACCAGGATACTTATAGCCCTGTGGTTAAATTTCCGACGTAGAATGTCATGTTGTCGTTGGCAGTTACGAAGAAGTGCGTTTTGCGACAGGTCTTTCAGTTAGACTCGGAATTGGGATTCGACATAAATGAATTGGGTTGGAGTCATCACTGATCAATTTAAAAACATTTAGGTAGATCGGACACCATCTTACCTGATCTACGTTTTATCAGAAATATGTCGAGTTCGGGAGTCGATTACGGTTAAGGAAGGGTTAACACCCTTGAACCGCCATTTCGGTATCAATTAATTTTTCTGTCGTTTTTAATTGTGAAAAAATTGAAATTAAAATTTAAAAAACTCGATTCAAATTACTTACCTTTGATTGATTTGAATTATCCCTAAAAAATCAAAAATTTTACATAAAAAATAATAAATAAATATTAAATAAATTAAAGGGAAAATAATAAAAAATAATAAAAATATGAATAAAATGGAGTGATAGTTTGCTTGGCTGTCAATGTAATACCCACGTAACACAATCCCTTCAGCAAGCAATTGTATGTTTGAACAGTTCGTTTGCAGCCGATTCCACCCATCACTTCAAAAACTCGAAAAGCATTCCCTAGTTTGCCTCTTTTGCACAATGAATGAATGAGAATTGTAAACGTTGTAACATTTGGATTATACCCATTTTCCATCCCATTTTCCATCATGTGGTGTAAAACTATTTGAGCTCCGTCGACGTCGTTTTTCTTGCAGCAGCATCTGATGATGCTGGAAAATGTCGAACAGTTTGGTGATAAATCCAGACCAGACAATAATGATATGTTAGAGAAAACTTTCATGGCAAGATCGGGCTCGTTTGCTGTAACCAACGCCATCAACAGGCCATGGAAATCTGATATGGTCCAATTGCTCGAATCTTTCTCCATCTTGCTGAGAATTTCACTCGTGTTATGCTATTGCGGCCGTTATTTCGCGGTAAAGCCACCGTCCGAAACCGATATTAACGAATTTTACGGTGGGTAGCGGATTCACGTTGATAGCGCTCCATCGCGTCCGAAATCTAATGGGTAACGGTGGATGTTGAAAACATTTTGATGTTTCGATATAACAAATTAAATTAAAAGAATTTTAATTTTGAAAAAGATTTTTTCTAAGCATATTCGATATATTAAATCGAATATCAAAATATTACTCAAAGTATTTTAAAGTTCATTTTAAATCCTTACTCAAGTGTAAAATTAAGTTTTAATCTTAAAATAATTTCAAAACGATTTTACAAAATATTTTGAACCATTTCAAAGCCAAAAATTCCAGATTGCTCAGAGGGAACCGATTCCCCTCAAGGGGGTACCGATTCCCCCTGAATGGTTTGGCTCCGAGAATTCCAATATGCTCGGAAGGAACTGATTCCCCCCAGGGGGTACCGATTCCCCCCACTGTTCAACGGTCGAAATATTTGAATTTTACACTTAGGGAACCGATTCCCCATTAGGTGTACCGATTCCCCCACGCTCCAAGCAGAAATATTAATTGTTTTCACACTTAAACGGCTCCAAAAACTGCATTAATGATCCCCAACGTTCAGAAGTGATTCAAGGTGTATTTAAGCAAGCTTAGAAGGCATTGATCAACAACAAGAAACATCAAGAACTAGAATCAAGAGAGAATCAAAGAAAAAGCATCAAACCTCAAGTTTGAGCATTTCAAGCCTATTTTTCATTCTCTATTCATTTTGCTTTCAAGAACACTTATTGTGCTCAATTGTATTTATTCTTGAGTGTTCTTTTCTTTGTTCTAGAATTGTACAAACAATCTATCTTGTGAGGATTTCCTTGTAAGTTTGTAAGTTTGCAAATTTGTATTGTTCTCTTTGGGAGAGAGTGTTCTCAAGAATTTGGGGTATAATTCTTGAGGGTTTGTAAGGTTACTCTTTGTCCTCAAAAGATAGACAAATTAGTGAATTTGTGAAAAATCCTTAGTGTGAATAGCTAAGGTAGTGGACGTAGACTTTGGTTGAGAAAGTCGAACCACTCTAAATCGCTGTGCAAATTTCTTTCAATTTTCTGCAAAAGCTTCCACCAAAATTTTAATTGCCAATTCACCCCCCTCTTGGCCATATTCGTCAATCGATTAACTCAACAATTGGTATCAGAGCCTAACTCATTTGAAGGTTTAATCGCCTCTTGAGTCGATCCGGGAAGAGTTAAATCGATAAAGATGGCGTCTACTTCCGGTTCATTCTCCATGGAAGAATCCAAACCTATTGACATGCCTCCACACTTCAATGGAACAAATTATCGTCATTGGAAGAGGTGTATGATGATATTCATCAAAGCATTTGATATGGAAGCTTGGATGATAATCAAGAAAGGATATTCCTTTCCTACTAAGAAGGCAAAGAAGTGGAGTGTTCAAGAACGGAAGGAAGCTCAACAAAACTCAAAGGCTATGCACATATTGTGTTGTGCAATTGATCCTAATGTATATAAAGGAGTTTCTTCTTGTTCAAGTGCCAAGGAAATGTGGGATAAGCTTGAGGAGATCCATAGAGACAAGGAAGAAGAAGAACCAATAAAAGTGATGTCTCTAGTAGCTCTCACAAAGCCAAAGGTATCTTCTAACTAAAATATATCAAATTCAAAATCTTTTAATGAGTTACAAGATGCTTATGATAAATTATTTTCAGAGTTTGAGACCATGAACTCCAAATACAATAAATTGATTTCTAAATTTATTGCTAAAAATGATCTTCTTTTGAAAGCTAAAACAGACTTGGAAAATCAAAAAGAAATGTTGAGAAAGGAGTTAGAGCTTTCAAAAATAAAATCTGAAAACTTTGAAAAAGAAATTTTCAAATTAAACAAACTTCTTCTAGAAATAAAAATGTATTTTGAAAATCAAAATGAAATCTTGAAGAAGGATTTAGAACTCTCAAAAATGAAATTTGAAAGTATTGAAAAAGAAAATTTCAATTTGAAAGATAAGCTTGAATGTTTAACAAGAGAAAAAGAGATCATTCTAAATAATTCATCTAGTTCAATAATGACAATATGTCCACATTGTCATTATCATGGTCATAAGGAACATACTTGTCCTTTAAAGAAAGGAAAACGATTTAAAATTAGACAAGTATGGGTTCCAAAAGGAACAAGAGGCATTGAAACTAATTTTCAAGGATCCAAAGCAATTTGGATACCAAAATGTACATAAATGTCTCTTGTAGGTGTGTGAGAGCAATGATGATAAAGATGATGATATTCAAGATGCTCTAGCCACACATAAAAAGGGAATGGGTAACCTCTAAACTTAATATTTTTATTATTTGGTTGCTCATTTAGTTTATGCATGCATGAGGTTTTAAAATGTTGAATTATGTTTTATCTCATGTATGTTGAAAATATTGTATGATGAATATGGTATTTTTGGTAATGTTTTATAAACTCTAGTTCATCATATTAATTTTTGGTCAAAATTGTTTTTTAAAATGTAATTGATATCTCTTTAACAATTGATATCGATTTTTTTCAAGAACTTTGGTTTTGCAAATTTTGACCTAAAATTTTTCTTAATGTTTATGCATAGATTTTTTTGTTTAAATATTATAAAGTTTTAATGCATAACATTTTCAAAAAACTTTATGCATGTGATCTTAATCTCTATAATCAACATTGCATAATGTTTTATAT